TAACATCGTTGGTGGGGCCGTGTGCCATGAGAGGCTCTGGTTGATTTGTGGCCCCTTGACTTGGGTTGCGAGGGTTACATTTGACCTGGCTAATGTGAGTTCAGGTCAGGACTTCTTTTCCGATGTAGGTTATTGTGTATATTGGAAGAGAGTGGGCAGGTGCCTTCTTACATGTTTGTTGGGGCCATGTGACATGGGAGGGGAACTGGTTGATTTGTAACTCCTTGAGTGGCCGCGAGGGGTACCCTTATACTTGACCCCCCTAATGTCGGGTCAGGTCTGGACTGTTTCTGAGATGTAAGCTGTGGTCTGACAACCCATCACTACATGAAGGCGAGAAGACCCAGACTGAGAAATACAAAATAAACACAAACTTCAATATTAATAAGAAAAAATAACATGAAATCATTACAAGAAAAACAGAATGGTAGCGTAATTTACATTCCTACTTAAACTTCCTAAATCATATAATTAACAATAACTTACCTGTTGAGTTGAGTACAGGTCAGCCACGTAAGTAAAAGAAAACTATCCAGACGTCTCGAGGAGAATATTTTTTGTGGTAGGAGATCCGACGTAGAGCAGTTAGTATCAAGAGTTAAACTGACCATCAGTCCTACCAGAAACTAACTGAAGTATACTAACTAAATACATACAATTAACATATCATAACACAACAAAATATTCCAAATAATATAATTACAGTATACCAGACTATAATACATGATATGACTGGATCTAAAGTATGTGTCCTCTAATGTAACCACCAATATCTGAGTCATTGGAACTCTTCCTATTCCGAGCCATATCGACAAAGGCCTCATGACTGTGAACACTCCCTACCTGCTGACCTGACTCTCAACACTCCCTACCTGCTGCCCTGAATCTAAACACTCCTTACCTGCTGCCCTGACTCCAAACACTCCGGACCACCTGACATGACTCTGAACACTTCCTGCCTGCTGACCTGACTCTCAACACTCCCTACCTGCTATCATGACTCATAACACTCCTTATCTGCTCACCTGACTCTGAACACTCCTTAACTGCTGACATGACTCTCTCAACACTCCCTACCTACTGACACGACTCTCTCAACACTCCCTACCTGCTGACATGACTCTCTCAACACTCCCTACCTACTGACATGACTCTCTCAACACTCCCTACCTGCTGACATGACTCTCTCAACACTCCCCTACCTGCAGGCTGACTCTCAACACTCCCTACCTGCTATCATGACTCTCTCAACACTCCCTACCTGCTGACCTTGACATCTCAACCTCTCCCCTACCTGCTGACGACTCTCTCGCCTCCCTACCTGCTTGTGTGACTCTCTCCTTGCTCCCTACCTGCTGACGCAGCTCTGTTCCCTCACCTTGGGCACAGCTCTCTCTGCCTCCCTACCTACTGGCTGACTCTCTCAACACTCCTACTACCTACTGGCGACTCTCTCAACCTCCCTACCTGCTGACATGACATCTCTCAACACTCTTCCACCCCCTACTTTGGCCGACTCTCTCGCGCCTCCTACCTGCTGACATGACATCTCTTAACACTCCCTACCTGCTGACATGACTCTCTCAACACTCCCTACCTACTGACATGACTTTATCTGATCACTTTCTCAGTAAAGCATCTGACATGGCCCTCAGACAAACAGATAGATAGATAGATAGATAGATAGATAGATAAGGGTAATACAATATATCAAACTATAAAGATAATAAGAGTAATTGATAAATGATAGAAGTAAAAGTGTAATTGGTGTGTCTGGATAACCGGGGTGGGAGAGAGAGAGAGAGAGAGAGAGAGAGAGAGAGAGGTGTCATATTGGTATTATGTTTTGCCTTTCTCTTTGTACGTCATTCTTTCACGTTTTCTCTTTTCTTTTCTTTCTACTTTTTTCTCTCTTCTCTTTTATTGTCTCTCTCTCTCTTTCTCTTTCTATCTTTCTCTCTCTCTCTATCTTTAAGCTGCAACTCATCACCTGATTACGTAGTACAGAGGAACTGAAGGGGAGGGAGGGAGGAAGGGAGAGAGGGAGAGGAGAGGAAGAGAGGGAGGGAGAGGGAGGGAAGGTAACAGGTGAGAGAGAGCAGGGGATGGGGGAGGAGGGGGAGGGAGGGGAAGGGAGGAGGAGGAATGGAGGGGAGGGGGAGGAGGGAATAACAGGTGAGAAAGAGGTATGGGTGGGGGAAGGTAGGGGAGGGGTAAGGAATGGGAGGGAGGGAAGGGGGTTGAGTAACAGGTGAAAGATGTGAGAGGGAGGGGAGGGGAGGGGAGGGGAGGGGAGGGAGAGCTAGAGTGCAAAGTCGTGTTGGGTGTTGCAGTATTCAACGTCTGTTCTCTCTCTTGGGACCTGACCTCTACCAGCCACGCCTATCTCCACCCAAATAACATCCATCTCCATCACTCTCCACCAATCCTCACCCAATAGCAGCCACCGCCACCGATCTCCACCAAAATAGCACTCATCTCCACCAATTTCCACCCATAATTACTGCTTTTCACCACAGATTCTTATTATTTGTATTACTTGTTATTTTTGTTCGATATTATTCTTATCAATCTTCTTTATTTTCTATTTTTCTTATTCTTATTCTTCTAATCTTAGTATGATCACAATTGCTGTCATTATCATTTTTATTTTCATAAGTATGTATTTCCAGTTTCCTTACTCTTACATATACCAACATATCATAGGTGTGTGTTACATCATCAGGTGTGTTAAGAGGTTCAATGAAAGTCATAATAATAGAAAAATGACTATATTTACACTTGTTACAGTACAGCCAACCTTGTCGACACCTAAACCCTCCAGCCCGCCAGCTACTAATGTGACCAACATGGGCGAGACCTCTTGGCAGTGTTTCCAAGGCCAATGTCACCCCAATGGGAGGTTGTTCCAGTGTTACCAAATCAATGACGATCTGTGGAGGTTGACAAAAGTACACTGCTGTACACCCACCTACTGTGTACATTTTGAGGATGCCTTATATACCAATGGTACACGGTTGGCTATCCTGATACCCTGGTGGTGACGTCACGGAAGAAATGTGACGTCACTCTAGTGTTATAATATGACGTCAGGCTTGTCGTCACACAGTAGCTAGCGTCCACTAAAACAATATGAGGTCCGCATACCGAAAGGCTCGTAAAGTTAAGATAATCTCTCGTTGTTGTGAGATATATCCGGTTCTTATATAGGTTCCTTCAAGTATACGGAGCTGGATATATTTATTATATATATACATCTTTTAGCAAACTAAAATCTGAATAATGATAATGAGGATGATCATGATATGACGTAACTGAGGAGGTCTGTGACAAACATGATTCCATAATATATATATATATACATATATTATTGTTCTCACATCACATATTCAACATTTCAACAGAAGACGTTCAGAATACAACTATATGTATGTGTGTATGTACAAGATATAGTTATGTGTGGGTCGGTGAATAGACGCGTGTGATTCTCACACACACACACACACACACACACACACACACACACACACGTTCACGGTGTTTGGTAGACAGGTGTGTACAGGACAACAAACACCCAAAAAACATAGTAGGTGATCAACGAGTGTGTGTGTGTGTGTGTGTGTGTGTGTGTGTGTGTGTGTGTGTCACCTACAACTAAAATACATAAGTGAACCATGAGGACCAAGTAAACAATAATTATAACAACAACAACAACAACAGCATTAAGCTACTGGACGAGACGGTTGAGGTGAAGCTCTGAGGCTTCCATAAGACTCCTAAAGACTTCCTGGAGGTTCTCAAGAAGTTAAAAAATGACTGTTAGTATTTTCGGTACTCTTGAATATGTCTATGTTGCTGTGTAGTCTAGTGACGATATTTATCGGTACTTGTTTGTATACCAGCACATATGATGAATGTTCCGGCATATATGGGGTATATACTAGCATATGTGGTGTCTATACCTGATGCATATGGTGCATATAACAGCACAATGATATATGTAACGGCACATATGATGTATATACCAGCATATATGATGTATACACCTGATACATACAGTGTATATTGGCACACATGGTATATATACTGTCACATATGCTATATATATACCTGCACGTATGGCTTTTTTACCGGTACATTTGGAGTATATACCGAGTCACACAGCCAGGTGGTCATCAGCACAACTCAACACAAGATGTTGTTTACACTATCAACACATATTGATGTTAAACCTGTTAACACAAGTTAACTCTGTCAACACAAGATGCTGTTAACACTTTCAACCAACACACGCACATTACCGTATTAACACCAGATGAGACAGAAGTTAACAGCATCGTAAACAAGATTATTAAAACAGCAGCTTAAGGTGTGCTCAGAGACGTGATGTTAACCTCTGAGCTGTGTTATATGGCAGCCAGAGGTCACTAGTCCTAAAATAATTTTCTCCTCGTCAGCCTCGTGTTAAATATCCTATATGTTTTTAAATAACATCATTTTGTTGTTGTCCGTAGATGAAAGGTTAATATATATCTCGTTAATTATGACCGAGGGAATTAATAAACGCCTTAGCCTGGTTAATGCAAATGTTAATGAGAAGGTGTTACGTTAAAATGAATCATAGAGATGTCTTAAGAGTTTAACCCAAATAACCAGATACCTCTTTAGACGTCTTAGCCCCGCCTTAGCTCAATCTTCCTCTCTCACGTAAATAAGAACATAAAACTTAATAATCACAATACGGACCTTAATTGCCTATTTCTGGAGTTAATTAATCGTTATTAAGTTAATACAAAGCAATTTAGATGCTGTAGATGTTAATTCACTATAATATGACAGATCTCTACGACTTAGTTAAGTCTTAGAAGTTCTCTTGGTCCGTAATAAGAGATTGAGTATTGCTGAAATTGGTGAGGAGGAGCCTAGCCTGTCTTGGAGGGGGGGGCTTCTCTCTCTCTCTCTCTCTCTCCTGTTGCCTCTCTCTCTCTCTCTCTCTCTCTCTCTCTCTCTCTCTCTCTCTCTCTCTCTCTCTCTCTCTCTCTATCTCTTGCTGTCTGTGTCTCTTTCTATCTCCCGTTGTCTCACTATCTCTATTAACTGCAGTCTCTCTTTCAATCTCTATTTCCTGCTGACTCACTCTCTATCTATCGATGTCTCTCCTTCTCTACATCCTGCCGTCCCTCTTTCTCTCTATCTCCTGCTGTCTTTCTTTCTATCTCCTGCTGTCATTTTCTATCTCTATTTCCTGCTGGCTCTCTTCCTCTTTCTCTCTCTCTAACTCCCCTTCTTTATCTCCACCTCCTGCTGTCTCTCTCTCTACCTAAATATGCACGCCTCTTCCCCCGCTCTCTCTCTCTCTCTATTTAACTTTATTTACGCCCAAGGTCATTTTAACACATCTGATGACTTCATTAAATAACTTAGGTCAAATTACAACACTGTTCCGTGACTTAGACTATCATACTGGAACCATTCCTCCGCTGTCACCGAAAATAACATTCACTTACAGAACTCACTTTAACATTGTGGTTATGACCGATAATTAAGTTGGGTGACACTTCTAAATATTGCAATTCAAGTTAATTCAAGTTGATTTCAATAAGTATTCCACAACGTCATTATATATGGTGATAATTTTTTTTTATTACAAGAACTTATCTTTATTTTATTAGTTTATTTCTTACGTGGAAAATGGATTAATTCTGTGTCATTTCGTTCAATGTCGCACTTATGAAGAACATATATATACGACGTTAAGCGAAGATACCCTATAATACGGTAACTCAATATAATTTATAATCTGTAGGTCAAATTGTTAACACAGGATATGTAATTAAGGTTTAGGCGTGTTTACGTTATCAATCTGGCGTCAAAGTTGAGCAATATGTGTGAGCTGTGTGTTGACTTACCCAAGACAGTACCATTGTTATTGTCCTTTACGTCACAACATTGGTCACTTTACTCTGTTATAAGAACAAGTATCAAAATGTATATCTTAAATTCTAGCGTCTTAATAAGTAGTTTTGTCGTCACTTTACACTTTATGAGTCATGATATAAATGTTGAAGTAGAGTGAATGTTTAAGTGTGTCAGGTAAGTAATTTCCTCGTTACTTTAAACTTTACAAGTCGTCATACAGCTGTGAAAGTAAAGTTTACATTCTGGTATGTTATATAAGTAGTTTCCATGATATTTTATACTTTATAAGTTGACACAAATATGAAAATAAATCTTGGTCTACACTCAGTCATAAGTAAGTAGTTACCTCCTTACTTAACACTTAACAAACTGTAGTACAAATATCAAAACACATCTTAGTTTTATGTCTGTTTAAAAATAATTGATTCCTTGTCTGTCACTTTACACTTTACAAGTACTGGTAATAAAATATGAAAGGAGATCATCTCCGGTCACAAGTAATATCATTCGTCACTTTACACCTAACAAATCGTAGTACAAATATCAAAAACACACACTTGATTCTTAGCCATAAATAAGATGGTTGTTCTAAGTTACTTTATGTATAATTATTATTACTTTTTTCACTGCTCCTGTCAGTGAAATTCTCCACCACAATTTATAGGTAAAATATTTAACATATTCACAGGTTATTTAAAGAGTTTGTAATTGTTAGGTTCATACGACACTTTCTCTCTCACAATAAAAACATCTTCCTTCACGCACACAAAACACGCGGCCGTCGTGTTACTGCCTCAGTGTTCTCCAGTGCCGTAATTGAGCGCCAGTGCGAGCAGAAGGCGGGCGAAATGGCCCGTCAGACGTTGTGACATCCAATACCTTGCTAATGCGGGGATGGAAGCCAACGCCGGTGTGGGCAGAAAGCGAGCGAAACGTTCCGTCAGGCGTTGTAACATCCATTACCGTGTGTCAGTACGGTGATATAAGTTAAACGCCAGTGCAAGCACAAGGCGAGCGAACGGTCCATCAGGCATAGTCATTTCTACAAGCGTGTCAGTGAAGGATGGAGGGGATCGACAGGCGCTGCCGATTGCTCGTGCTGGTGGTGGTATTGTTATCATGTGTTGGTCAGGTGCTGTAGCTCTCAGAAGCGTGACACTGTGGCGTGGACGAGAAAACCAGGCATTGTTAACTGCTCGTGCTGGCGCTTGTGGTAGGGAATGGACTTTTGACTCGTCCGTGTCTAGTGTCCATGTCCTTGAAGATGACCTGGATACATAGAGGCAGCTAGGACATCCCGGAGGCAGCCTGGACACGTACCGGCGTGTAGGACATCCCGGGGGCAGCCTGGACACGTACCGGCGTGTAGGACATCCCGGGGGCAGCCTGGACACGTACCGGCGTGTAGGACATCCTGGAGGCAGCCTGGACACGTACCGGCGTGTAGGACATCCCGGGTGCAGCCTGGACACGTGCCGGCGTGTAGGACATCCCGGAAGAGACCTGAACACGTAGAAGCATTTAGGACATCCGTGAGACGACCTGGATATACAGAAGAAGGTGGGACATCCCCAGCAGTAGGAAAACTCCTCAGTGATCCTCAGGTCTTGAGCAGAGAAAACGAGCTAACTCAGCGTCCAGGTGTTGGCTGAAACAAGAAAAACAAGAGTAAGTAAATATAAAAACAAACAAAAAAACACACGATAAAAACAAAGACAAAAAGGAATGAATAAAAATAATAACCGAAAACACTATAAAACAATAAATGAATCAGTAAGAAAACAATAAAAAAAACATGATAACAATAGAGAATAACGGAATTACTAAGAGACAAAAATAATGAAATAATTGGTACAAAAACAAGAAGCAAAAGAGATGATTAAAATAGTTAACAAACACAGAGGAGAGGAAGGTGGAGAGGTGGTGGAGGGTGTGGACCTTGTTATGGTGGAGGGAGGTGGTGGAGAGTGGTGGTGGAGAGGTGGTGGAGGGTGTGGGGCTTGTTATGGTGGAGGGAGGTGGTGGAGAGTGGTGGTGGGTGTGGACCTTACTATGGTGGAGAGAGGTGGTGGAGGGTGTGGACCTTGTTATGGTGGAGGGAGTGGTGGAGAGTGGTGGTGGAGGGAGGTAGTGGTAGTGGATAGTAACAGTAGTGGTGGATGGTGATAGTGGTGGTGGAGGGTAGTGGTGGTGGGTGTGGACCTTGTTATGGTGGAGGGAGGTGGTGGAGGGAGGGTGGTGGAGGTGAGTGGAGGTGTGGGGCTTGTTATGGTGGAGGGTGGTGGAGGGTGTGGACCTTCTTATGGTGGAGGGAGGTGGTGGAGGGAGGGTGGTGGGTGGACCTTGTTGGTGGAGGGAGGGTGGTGGAGGTGGTGGTGGGTGTGGACCTTACTATGGTGGAGAGAGGTGGTGGAGGTGTGGACCTTGTTATGGTGGAGGGAGTGGTGGAAGTGGTGGTGGGAGGGGAGGTGGTGGTAGTGGATGGTAACAGTAGTGGTGGATGGTGAAATAGTGGTGGTGGAGGGTAGTGGTGGTGGAGGGTAGTGGTGGTGGATGGTAGTGGTGGTGGATGGTGATAGTGGTGGTGGAGGGTAGTGGTGGTGGAGGGTAGTGGTGGTGGATGGTAGTGGTGGTGGATGGAATCGTAATCAGGGGACAAAATTCACGTTATATTTACACTACACACACATATACCACACACACACACACACACACACACACACACACACACACACACACACGCACACACACGTCTGGTAAACTGAATCATACTCATGTGTATATCATAGACGTGTACATCACAGTAAACTTCTAGTCATATGTAAATTAATACACATTAATCTGTCTATAAGACGTAGACTCATACACAGGTCAAGGTGTGTATGATCAGGTTAATTATCTTATAGGCATACTGTTAATTATAAATAGTTGCTCTACCTGTTCAATAATTAGCTACTCCACCTGCACAATATACAGCTACTCCACCTGCACAATATACAGCTACTCCACCTGTACAATATACAGCTACTCCACCTGTACAATATACAGCTACTCCACCAGTACAATATACAGCTACTCCACCTGTACAATATACAGCTACTCCACCTGTACAATATACAGCTACTCCACCTGTATAATATATGTTAATACTCTAATTGTGTATAATATACAGCTACTCCACCTGTACAATATACAGCTACTCCACCTGTACATATACAGCTACTCCACCTGTACAATATACAGCTACTCCACCTGTACAATATATACAGCTATCTAATCTGTACAATATACAGCTACTCCACCTGTACAATATACATTACTTCCACCTGTACAATATACATATCTACCTGTACAATATACAGCTACTCCCACCTGTACACATATGCCACCCACCTGCACAATATACAGCCATTCCACCTGTACAATATACAGCCACTCCAATTCGTACAATAATATACAGCTATCTACCTGTACAATATACAGTTACTCCACCTGTATAATATACAGCTACTCCAATCTGTACAATATACAGCCATTCACCTGTGTACAAGGCCAGCTATCTAATCTGTATAATATACAGCTACTCCACCTGTGCAATATACAGCTACTCCACCTGTACAACAAGCATCAATCTGTGCAATATACAGCTACTCCACTCTGTACAATATACAGCCATCTAATCTGTACAATATACGCCATCTACCTGTACAATATACAGCTACTCCACCTGTACAATATTGTGCCATTCACCTACAATATAAGCAGCTATTCCACTCTGTGCATGAGTACAGCTATCTAATCTGTACAATATACAGCTACTCCACCTGTACAATATACAGCTATCTAATTCCTGTACAATATACAGCTACTTCACCTGTACAATATACAGCTAATTAATCTGTACAATATACAGCTACTCCACCTGTATAATATACAGCTACTCCACCTGTACAATATACAGCTACTCCACCTGTACAATATACAGCTACTCCACCTGTACAATATACAGCTACTCCACCTGTACAATATACAGCTACTCCACCTGTATAATATACAGCTACTCCACCTGTATAATATACAGCTACTCCACCTGTATAATATACAGCTACTCCACCTGTACAATATACAGCTACTCCACCTGTACAATATACAGCTACTCCACCTGTACAATATACAGCTATCTAATTCGGACAATATACAGCTACTCCACCTGTACAATATACAGCTACTCCACCTGTACAATATACAGCTACTTCCACCTGTACAATATACAGCTATCTAATCTGTACAATATACAGCTACTCCACCTGTACAATATTCAACTACTCCACCTGTACAATATTCAACCACTCCACCTGTACACACAGCCACTCCACCTGTACAATATACAGCCACTCCACCTGTACAATATTCAACTACTCCAATCTGCACAATATACAGCTACTCCACCTGTACAATATACAGCTACTCCACCTGTACAATATACAGCTACTCCACCTGTACAATATACAGGCCATTCCACCTGTACACATAGCCACTCCACCTGTACAATATACAGCCATCTGCACCTGTACAATATAAGAATATCTGACACCTGTACAATATACAGCTATCTAATCTTGACAATATACAGCTAATTCACCTGTACAATATACAGCTACTCCACCTGTGCATGATCAGCTATTCCACCTGTACAATATAATAGCTACTCCACCTGTACAATATATTAAGCTACTCCACCTGTACAATATAGCTACTCCACCTGTACAATATACAGCTACTCCACCTGTACAGTATACAGCTACTCCACCTGTACAATATACAGCTACTCCACCTGTATAATATACAGCTACTCCACCAGTACAATATACAGCTACTCCACCTTTACAATATACAGCTACTCCACCTGTACAATATACAGCTACTCCACCTGTACAATATACAGCTACTCCACCTGTACAATATACAGCTACTCCACCTGTACAATATACTGCTGCTCCACCTGTACAATATACAGCTACTCCACCTGTACAATATACAGCTACTCCACCTGTACAATATACTGCTACTCCACCTGTACAATATACAGCTACTCCACCTGTACAATATATCTGCAATAAGTGTTCATTTTTACTGTTATTTTTTTGACAAACTCTAAATCTTATATGAAACAGATAGAGTTTAATATTAGCTCTATAATCTTCGTCAACTGGGGTGCGACGGGTGAGTGGATAGAGCGCCCGAAGCTCCCAAGTCCACCCAGCTGGGAATGGGTACCTAGCGTTACAGTTGGGAAGTGAAGGTGGTCCATTGTCGTGTCGACCTATCAGATCCATTTAACAGCGTGAGGTGATAATGACAGGTGTTAATGTGATAGTGGTTGACCTATAGTATGTTATGAAGGTGTTAGATAGGTGTTACACCCTTGAGAATGAAATGATACACAATACAGGTGTTTAAGTGGGTCAACACCTGTAGCTGCTGTGATGAAGAATACATTACAGGTGATTAAGTGAGTTAACACCTGTGGCTGCTGTGACGAAGAATACATTACAGGTGTTTAAGTGGCTCAACCCCTGTAGCTGCTGTGACGAAGAATACATTACAGGTGTTTAAGTGGCTCAACCCCTGTAGCTGCTGTGACGAAGAATACATTACAGGTGTTTAAGTGGATCAACACCTGTAGCTGCTGTGACGAAGAATACATTACAGGTGTTCAAGTGGATCAACACCTGTAGCTGCTGTGACGACGAAACACAATACAAGGGTTTCATTAAGAGGATTACACACACACTCACGTCTTCATCTACCTCTTAATTATCTCCTTGGGTAGACAGTAGGTCAGAGGTTCACCTGTGTCTTGGTGACAAATGTGAGAAGCTTTATATGTTCTGGAGGTTCACATCACCAGTGGTCGAGGGCAAGTGTCGAGGATGAGGTCTGGAGGTTCACATCACCAGTGGTCGAGGACGAGTGTCGAGGATGAGGTCCGGAGGTTCACATCACCAGTGCTCGAGGACAAGTTATGTAACACTTCACTATATCATTTTAGTTTTTACGGAAGTTTCTCATTTTGTTCTCTCTCTCTTCTCTTCATTGTCCTTCACCTCTTTCCTCCCTTCACCTCCTCCCCCTCCGCCTCTATCACCAATCCTTCCCCCTTCCTCCACCCCTTCCCTCCGCAGACCAACAATTCCTTCACTTCCTCCCTGTCCTGTTTCCCATCATCTCCTTACCTTTGCCGCTTCCCATCACCCCTCCCGCATCACGCCCCATCACAACACAATTAGTGCTTCTGGTCATAACTCACATGCCAGGCCAAAATAAGATCAACAATCAGGGCTACATGTCAGCTGGCCGTGCGTATGATGTCAGCAGGTCGTCAGTATGTCAGCTAGTCGCCAGTATGTCAAATGGTCGTCTGTATAATGTCAGCTGGTCGTCTTTATGATGTCACCTGGTTTTCAGTATGTCAGCTGGTCGTCTGTATAATGTGAGCTGTTCGTCTATATAATGTAAGCTAGTCGTTATTATGTCAGCAGGTCGTCAGTATAATGTTAGCTGATCGTCTGTATATCAACAGGTCGTCAGTATGTCAGCTGATCGTGTGTATAATGTCAGCTGGTCATCTGTTTTTCTTGACCTTCC